CTTATTCTATTGTAATTGGACCTCAGCCACTTGTCTTGCTGTTGTTATAAAACAGACCTGTCCACGGATATATGACACATTTGATTTCTTCCCTTTTTGTGATAAAAAAACTATAACAATAATTGATTAATTTGGATTAATCAATTATTTTAACAGTCCTAATATGAATATATATGAAATCAGAAAGGTAAAGGGCTCTTCCAACCCCTTTTACACAAGTGACAACCTCATTACGCCGCAGCTTGTATCAATATTTACGGTCTCTCTGTCCTGTGTATGATTATGGCTTGTTGGTTATGTTGTTGGCGTGACGAGCATTGTGGGATATTTATACTGGCCAGAGCAGCAGACGCCACACTCGGAGACTCCCCTAAAGCGAGCTGCTGGTTTCATCCCAAGGACAAACATGCTTACATTGTTACAGTTTTAGAGAGCAAATAGCATGTTAGTACAGTCTATATCAGGTCTATTCTACTTATTTTTCCCAAGGGCTGAATTCTTTGGATGGCCACGTGTTCTGGGACGAATAATTGAGCACATCATCACTTTGAACATATAAAGTAAGTAAGTAAGTCATAAAGTAATTGTTATTTATATAGTGCCTTTCACAAACCAGAGTCACAAAGCACTTTACAATTGTGGGCATTTGTCCTCCACTCCACACATGGGAGCAGGGTCGTCATACAAGAGCCGCAAGCCAGACCTATTAACAGAGAAGATATCAAACTCAATATCTTAGCACACACTCTCTGTAGCACACTAAAGGGAAGGGAAAACACAAGACTTGTTGGTGTGTGGTTAGGGCTACTCAGGTCATTTATCGGACCTTGTAGATCCTCAGCAGCCGTAAGAGCTAAACCCTAAATTTTGATCACGGTTGTGTCTGCAGTGCTCCAGGGTCAATAGTTTTATAGGTTTTCTGGTGCAGGGGTCTGTCAGCAGAGAAAACCTTCCACTATTTTCAAGAGACAAGCAAATTCTTACTTGAAAGAACAAATGTTTTACTTGTTCCATTGAATTATTATTTTTTTTCCCAAAATGTCCTTGACCAAAAATAAAAGTAAGTAAGTAGTCTTTTTTATATAGCGTCTTTCACAGACCAGAGTCAAAAAGTACTTTACAATTGTTGTGACTTACTTAAACGACTTACTTCCAACATGTGATCACTTTTGCAGTGAACATGGACTGAGGGCTGGATTAGATTGTTCAGAGGGCCGGATTTGGCCCACGGACCACAAGTTGAATTGGCCTCCTCAACTGTCACTGTGCATGACGGAACAAATAGATTATATACTTTTTTCAATTAGATTAGAGACCGGAATTAAAATGTCAATCAAACTGAAAAGAGGTGCCCCTTAATCTCAGCGCTGGCTCCAAAAACAGTCACATTAAAATCCTGTTAGAGAAAAACGGATGAACGTTCAGTAAAGAAAAACTCTTTTTATCTTCCAGAAGTCAATACATCAGACTTTCTCCGGAGTCAACAAGTTGAGACAGGGGCTCCGGTTCAGTGAAAGCTTGTCTTTATCGTGCTGTTGGACTGTGGGAACTCTGCCACATCACTTGTTAAGATGTGTTTGCGTCATGTGTGGGATTGTGTTAAATCAGACAAAGTTAGTGTTGTGGAAGTGGTTGGTTCAGGCTTCTCCTAATTCATTTGGAGGAAGTTATTAAAACCTGACACCCAACATTTCCCAAAATGCTCAAAGGTCTCAGACATCACTAAATGTTGCTCTTTAGCCAATACTAATATTACAAGTGACTTCAGCATTGACTTATCGGAACTCTTACGTCCAGTTTCCACAGAGATGCTGTGACAGTAAAATGTAATAAAGTAAAATTTCGGATTGGCCTTTCGTTCACACGGTGTCGGTGTTTCAGGGGGGTGAAAATGCAAGCGTTGAAAGACGGCCTCCAGAGTGGAACAGAACAGTTACGGCGACAATATAATGCTGTACATTTGTCATTTGAGAGTCATTTGAGGGTATTCACAATTTCATTCAAAAATAATGGGACATCAGGCAATCCTTTTTGGGAGGCAAACCAAACGTAGTTAAGATAGTCTCACAGTGGGGAAATTTCAATGTTGCAGCGCACAGGCAGGACAATAGTAAGAGCACATAGGGAGCACACAACATTTACAAAATAAATAGCTGCTATGTTTCTTAACTAGCTGTAAATGCTGCAAAGTCTTAGTGTCTGAGTTTCATCCCTGGTGATGCTCTGCCAGGCCTCTGTTGCAATGGTGTTCAGTTCCTGCTTGTTCATGGGGTATTTTCCCTTCAGTTTAGTCTCCAGCTGGTAAAATGCATGCTCAATCACATTCAGAGTATGTGAATGAATTTCTCATTGCATAACTTGTAAAATGTAAAAATTCTAAAGCTAAATTCTATAAAATAATATTTTCCAAAATACAACATCATACTGCTTTTGTCAGCACCAATGACATCTTAATAAATACAAGTATACCTGTTCCGTCGCAGCTATACAGTATATGTAATACTCTGTATATACACGTACCACCGCAGCAGGGGGACAGTGGGAAGAACAGAGACACAACTTACGCTCTACAGAGCAGGCTGATAATAAAGCGAGATAAAGCGACACAGGCAATCACTGCGAATCAAGACTGGAATCTGACACATCCCTCGCCATCACGATACAGAACACCAAAATAAAAACAAAAGACAACATTGAAACTTTATGCCTCAAGGTTTCCCAGCGTGCTTTGTTTGTTTTACAGTCTATTCTGAGTGCGTGCGGTGCAACATGAGCCCTCTGTGGCTGTCCGAGTATCTATAGATCAGTGGAGCGGTACACGGGCACAGACGCCGGGTAAACAAGTGCAGTGGGGAAGAAAGGCCCCACGTCCAAACCATGTCTGTCCAAAAGCCCCCAAACGTGAACACCAGTCAACAACAGCTGCACTGCCCCCCAATAACTCCAGCACCAGCCATGGCTTTGATCAGCTCACAGGAAGTTAGGCTACAGGTGGCTCTGGACTGTCTTTGCTTTGCAAACTTCATCAAACAACAAATTAACTTACTCCATTTATCTGTCCATTTAATTCTACAAATCCTCAAATTTGAATCTAAAAAAACAACACAACAACATTCAGTACATGGCCTCACCTTTTGTACCATTTATGTTAGATAAGAATTCAATCCATTTAATTGAAAGCCAAAAAAGTTGTAAAATATCAGGGACATGATGGGTTGAGTTCAGTGTGGGGGTCTGACGACGTGCGGAGCCAGGCTACAGTTATAAAAGCACAGTTACTCCTGATCGCAATGAGCCTTATGTACAATTACTCTTGTTTTTGTGCACAAAGTTTGGCACCATATATATTTGGCACTAACTATATTGTTGTCAATTAATTTTAGCTTTAAAAAAAAGTAGCTCGGTTCCATGCTTACTGCACATGCTCAGTTGTGTTTCGCCCCTTATGATGCCTTATGATGTGGATGACACTCATCCACAAAAGTGTGGATTTATAGAAACAATAAGGATTTATGAGAACATTTGTGGTCTTTGGGTAAAAACATCTTGAGCCCATGAGAATTTTAGTTGCAGTACCGCTGGCCACTGAACACATACTGGGGACAGACTGAATCTAGTAATACCACAATTATCACAATACATCCGTGACTAAGACAAGAACATGTAAATGTATTGTGTCAGATGGGTTGGTGAAGGATCGGTCAGGGCAGCTGTGGCTACAGTAATAGTTTAACACCGCCATGTTTGAGTGAATGAATGATGCCATGTGAAGTATAGAGTGTCCAGAAAAATGCACAATATAAAACTGATGCATTATCAGTGCAGAGCCTATGTTTCAATGGTGATTATCAGAGGCACAGCGTAGAAGTGGGAACATGTCCCTGTCTTCCCATTTGAACCTTTCCTCTAGTTCCATTTTCACTTTTGTTTATTGCATAGAATGACAATAGCCTTCATTGCGACCAAAAATGAAGGTCGCGGCACGGTGGCTGAGTGGATAGCACTCTCGCCTCTCAGCAAGAAGGTCCTGGGTTCGAATCCCGGTCGGACCAGGGCCTTTCTGAGTGGAGTTTGCATGTTCTCCCCGTGTCTGCGTAGGTTTCCTCCGGGTACTCCGGTTTCCCCTACCACTAAAAATATGTCCAATAGTTCTGGCATGCGCCTTGTGTACTGGCCCCGCTCCCATCTCTGTGTGGAGTGGGAGACAAATGCCCAAAAATTAACAATTGTAAACCGCTTTGAGACTCAGATCTGCAGTGAAAAGGCGGTATATAAATAAAGATTACTACTACTACTACTACTACTACTACTACTACTACTACTACTACTACTACTACAAAAACAAAGAATTGTCTGTGGTGACAGCAGCACTTTGATAGACAACATCCAACAGGCCTGGAGAGCGCCGGAAGCAGCCGCCTTTGTTCCACGGTGCTACAACCATGTTGTGTTTATGGGATAACACTGTGTTGCCATTAAGAACTGAATTTAAACAGACACCCCCTCTCGCCCTCATACTGTCCAAGCCGGTCCACTTCCAACTGACGACAGAGGATCAGCAGGAGAAGGAAAGAACAAGGGCTAATGTGTGGGAATCTGGCCCAGCGCGGCCGTCATGGCGGGCAACTGCTCAACATGGCTTTAAATTAGGGGAAAAGAAAACAGAGACTAAAAAAGACAGTCGTCTAACTATACCCATGCCTGGTAATTTGCCACCACTTCAAAAAACACAAGCCAGTTCTAAAACACACTAGTATGTGTGCTACAAACCTTTAAGAGATTTGGGTGCTAATGCACTTAGGCAGGCATTAGCTTGTGGATGCTGTGTATAAAACTTCTTATTAGAAAGGCTAATAAAAGGGTGTCTGGTTCAGGCACTGAGATGAGACCAAAAAGGTTACTACAATCACCAACGCTGCCTAATACTTGTACTGTATGTCCTCTTATGGACTATGTGTATGCAAAGTGCAACAGTCACTGGTTTGTCCTGGGACTCCTACCTGATCCAGCAGGGGCAGGCAGGGTGGGACTCTGCGCTCCAGTTTGACGATGGCAACAAAGAGGCTTCCCTGGTGTTCATCTTCACTGGTGTTACACAGAGACAGAGGGTGGTACTGTAAGACACAAACATCCCATTGTTAGCTAATGTAGTGAGGAAAAGAAAAATATACATTTTGTAACAAAAGTGACAGTGCCTTGAAAAAGTCGCATGAGCTTATTCACATTTAGCCTTGCAAAAACCACAAACGTGAAGATGTTTAAAACATTTTTTACATATAATTAAATGAAAATTGTGACTCATCCACCTTTTAGAAAGTACTACCAATTACCTTTAGTAATTGCCAGATGATGATTTATAAAATGTTTACCTAAACCTCATTAAGAGAATATGTGACACACCAGTCAGGCATCATCAGATCATACAAATATTTACTAAGCTGAACATTCAGAAATGGAAAAAGTACGATACAACTCAAAACCTGCCAAGACAGGGCCGACCTCCCAAACTAATCCGAGCGAACTATAGAGGAGCTGTGGACATCTCCTCATGGATTAAGTACATATATATATCACAAATGTAAGATTTATGGATGTGGCAAATGGAAACCTGTGTAATAAAGCCCTACAAAGTCAAGTGGGGGACACATCCAACATGTGGGAGATAGTTGTGGTCAGAGGAGACCAAAATTAAACTCTTTGGCCTACATTAAAGTTGTTATGTGTGGTGGAAAACTAATGCTGCTATCACTATAATCACATCTCATGGTTTGGCATGGTCCATGATCCCATCCAGAAACTACTGCAAGATGAACTGCTTTTCACAAACCCTCTCAATCTAATGTGACAACATCAACATGAATGGGCAAAAATGTAAGTGTTTGGAAAATTAATTCATGAATTACCTCTCCCCAAAAGTAATTGTGTTTGTAACTGCGTGACTGAAGGGTAAAAGTAAATAGTTACGGGTCAAAGAAAGTACTGAATTTAGATAAATGTATCCACATACACGTATACAGTATCAGCTCAAATTAATATATCCACGCTTCGACAGCAAACCCAGGTCCTATATCCACATCTGGCCTCGGTCGTCTGCTTTTACTCTCCCATTATTATATTGTCACTAATTTATGCAACCGTTTTATATATAAAGTTATGTTATTCAATTATAATCAATTAAGTTACGAGTCACGTCACACTGAGTTAGTCTGGTTCACTTTAACTGGAGCAATTCTGGTTCACTTTAACTGGAGCAATTCTGGTTCACTTTAACTGGAGCAATTCTCGTTCACTTTAACTGGAACAATTCTGGTTCACTTTAACTGGAGCAATTCTGGTTCACTTTAACTGGAACAATTCTGGTTCACTTTAACTGGAGCAATTCTGGTTCACTTTAACTGGAACAATTCTGGTTCACTTTAACTGGACCAATTTTGGTTCACTTTAATTGAACCAATTCTGGCTCACCAAACAAGTATACATACTGTCTACAAGTCGTCTAAGTCAGTTCACATATTTTGATACAAATCTGTGAACCAAGTGAACCCGACTTGGTTCAGTTAAACGGGACCAACTAGTGTGCCTAAACAATAACAATAATGAAGATCCAGTAGAGGCCAAAGTAATTACAACACAGAGAAGTATAGGGAGCATGGCATGGATGGAACAGTGCTGGATTAAAGTCAGTCAGGTGCGCTTTGGAGAAGATGTTTCTAAAGTGTCAGACATTACAGCTGCTCTCATGGCATTATAAACAGTTGCTTCCAATTAGATAATCTTGTCTTCACATTTCTTACCTCTGATATCAAGAGGTAAAACTCTGGCACCTTACAAAATCAATTACATGGAGGGTGATGTTCGATCCCCCCAAAGCCTAGAGGACTAAAAGAATGACAGATAGTCTCAGTGAGGAACATTTGATCCCCTCTGAAAGGGCAGAAATTCAGAGCTGCTGAAAGGCAGCATTTAAGAGCTCAAAGGATAGGAGAAATGTTTGCAAGGCACAGACATGCTGTCACGAGTACAAGGAGACAAGTAGGGCAGGTCCACAACAGCTACACTCTCTACACTGCATATAAGCACCCGGACACCGAGAGGACCCCAGTGCGCAGAACCGGCCTCACACGACACGTCTGTACTACTGTGCCTCCTCATCAGGCTGTGAGCGCTGAAGCGGCTGTCACTCATCTCACCCAACGGAAATCTCTAAATTAAAAAGACCCAAGGGTGACATCAACAGCTGGCACCCCAGATCTGGGCAATTGACGTAATGGACTGCTAAGGGCTGGTGCGTGTCTGTCACAGAGCCGGTCACAGCAGAGGACGTCCTTCAGCCCCTAAATGTTACAGACTAAATTCTAAGGATATTTCAGTGTTGTGCTAAAAACATAAATGTGTCTTCCACAGTCTTCCCACACTTATAGAATACTATTATACAGTAAGCAGGGCATCCGGCAGCACCATACTCTGCTCTATACTTCTCTCTGCCAGCTGCCTCTACCACTCCACATTATTTAGGCCCAAATTAGAGGTCTCCGGGCAAACTTGGCCCTAAAAGTAGAAAGTGAGAAAAAATGTTTTTAATGACATGATGTGACCTCTGCTCTGCTTTTTTTCTTTATTTATGGGCAATATCAAAGAGACCCTTGTTTGGTTGGAATAATATGTTATTTTTAAACTTTTTTTATGAACTTGAGCATAGACTTCCACTCTGCCTTCAATGCTGGCCTCAATAAAAAACGTTTCCTATTGGAACAAGTGCGGCTTTCCCCATAACCCTCCTATCTTATACACCTCTGAAAATGTTCGCCAAAATCATCAAAACAATCTAGTTCAGACATAGCCTTTATGTTTTAGAAAGTGCACAAAACTAAACATTATCTACTATTTTTGATCTGACCACACTGTGTACAATTAGATGCTGTGAACGGTCTGATTGCCACCCCGAGTGCCATCCACCACATCCACAGTCAAGCTACAGGCTATAAACAGCAGAGACATCTTCATTTCAGAAAAGGAGGAATACGAAACTAAAGATACACATATGGGGTACTATTATTAAGGGCATCACTGAATGTTATACGCTGTCTTAATCATTATAGAAATACAAATACAATTGCACACTTGAGAGAGAAGGACTTGTGAGTATATTGTCCGAGAGAACTCTTCAATCTGGAAAGACAAAAACATGTATCAGAATTATGTTTATTTTATCTATTTATTTGAGAAAGAAGGAACATTCCAGATTTATGTTTATTGAGTTTAGTTTGCATTAAAGAAGACATTGCATGCCCAAAATGATAACATATGACACCCAGGGCTCATTATTAAATATTGAGTTCATATGAAATAAAAAACAATGCTATAAATGAAACTTGTCCCACAGAATAACCCAAATCGTGGTTTCTGGATGAGTCTCAAGCCAGAGTAGGGTTGGGAACCCTATCAATAAACAAAAGTGAACCATATAGAACTGAATCATAAACTGTATATAGATGACAATGCTAACCCCAAACACAACAAAGCCCAATAGGGACAAGCTCATGCTCCAACTCGCTCTGGTTCCTGTTTATTTGAATTAAAAAATCTGTGGTTTAGCTCTCTATGATCCTGGTGTTTATATTTTGATAATGTATTTATAAATCCAGAGCCATAAGGATTGACCAATCAAATGCCTTCATTCCCAGAGGATACTCCAGCTTGCCTTAGTATGTGTCTTAGCAACACATCTGACCGTTCGACAGAAGAAATGCCCTTAAAGTATATTGGCTGATGTTCAAATCGGCATCTCAATATCAATGTATATTTTTTAAGCTCAACTCATTTTACAGCTACCGTTTTAATCCTTCATCTGTAGACATGGGACTGATAAAGATTTCAGGATATATTTGTCTCTATATCTTATATTATAGTATAGTATAGTATGAGCTATAGTATCCAAGCCATCCCCTTGTTTATTGTCAATACATTTTAGTTTCAGGAGTTCTCATGATCCAACACAGTTCTCCGAGCCTAAGGGCAAATAATGTATGAACGATTCCAATGCCCAAAAGCTTAAACAAAGACAATGCAGCCATAACTGTACTAATTTTGTTCAGAAATAAAGACAATGTCAAAATTGTCATGGTGTGGTTTTTGTTTTGTTGGTACTTGGTTTTATTTTGACATCAGTTCTCTCTGTGGCTTTGTTTTACTTGTACTTCCTGTCCTGTTACCCTGTGTTAATTGTCTCCCCTGCCCTAATGTGTTTCACTTGTGTCTCTCATATGTACCCGGTGCTCTTCCCCACTTGTTGCTGGTCCATTGTCTTTTTGTACCCGTTTTCCTGGTTCCTGTTTTTCATTTGGATTTTTGAGTTTTTTTCCCCTGTACTTTTATTTCATCGTCTTCATTAAATCCTTATTTTTGCATTCCTGCTTTTGGGGTTCTTTCTTCATCACACCACATGACAAATCCATATTCAATTTGGATTTGTGGGTTCAATATGCATCCATACTGTAAAGATGATCGGTGCCAAAGATAAGCAATGAACAATTTCAGCTTTCAGCAAAAGCTTTGACTGTGCTCTTATAATCAGGTAGAAAATCATCTCAAAAGGATATGTTCTTATCTTTCCAATGGTATGCTCTTTTAATATAGGTTCTACCTTGTCTATGTTACAAAACAGGCGATAAGCAAAACTAGGTGTATGTTATGAGGTTATAATGAAAATCTTATATACTGTTGTAATCAGAGCGCCTTATATCTTATGACCTACACTAAGTAGATTTTCATGAAAGGATGCTGGCTCTGGGAGACAGACGGCAGGTCGCCTGATGCCAAGAGAGCATAGCGGAGCATTTTCCCCCTTCTCTGTTTCCCATCATTGGAGCATCTGGAAAAGTGGCTGTTGAAGCCTCTTCACTCTTTGGAAATGCAAACGAATGAGAGCATTACAGCTTTGGTCCTGTCAAAACAAAAAGCGTGTCATCTTTCCTTTGGCTTTATTGACAGTGTCAGCCCCATATCCAGTGACGGTTACCACAGAAAAAGTCTCTGAGAAACTTGATCCTATAATGAGCCTCAAATAATTACCACTAGTCCTGAATTTCCCTGGGTGCTTTCATTAAGTGGGAAA